GGCCTCCCTCGGCCCTAAGGCTCACCGCAACCTTCACCCTGCTCGCGCGGGCGCAGCCATCTTTGGGCGACACGTGACTCGAAGGGGGCGGGACCTCGGCCGCTGATTGGGCCCCGGGACGCCGGCCGCACGCTTAGCGACTTCCTGTCCAGGGCGGGCTCCCAGCGAGCGAGGTGCCGGGCGTGTGAGCGGTGAGACTCCGACCACCGTGGGGAGTATTTGTCCACCTTCCCCTGCCTCCGAGGGTAGAGCCTGTAGACCCGGAAAGTCCCAGAGGAAAGTCGAGTGGCCCTAAACCCGCCCTTTTCATTGATCGCCCATCTTGGGCACGTCACTTAACTTCCAGACCCATAGACCATGTCTCCTGATGTGGACATGGGGTATAAGAAAACAGCACAGCCCTTGGCATACGGTGGATGCCAGGTTCAAAAGATATCAAAAAGGAGCTGAGCCCTAGCTGGTTTGGCTCAGTGGGTAGAGCGTCGGCCTGCGGATTGAAGGGTCCCGGGTTCGATTCCGGTCAAGGGCACATGCCCAGGTTGCGGGCTTGATCCCCAGGGCGGGGCATGCAGGATGCAGCTGATCAGTGATTCTCTCTCATCGTTGATGTTTTTCTCTCCCGCTCCCTTCCTCTCTGAAATAATAATAATAGTAAAAAGGAGCTGAGATTTCTTTGCACCCTCGATTTTCTTTGCCCTTGGAGCTCCCTGTGCCACGTTGCAATCTGGTTGTCTGTCCCACCTCAAGATAATCAGCACCTCCAGAGAAGGAGCTTGTTTTCTGAGGATTCTCTGGTGCCCTGCCTCGTACTGCTGGTAAAAGCAGGGGTGGGTGAATGTGGCTAAGAACAAACTGGAGAGGAAGGGAGCCCCGGGGCTCCACTCGTCAGGACAATTGAGAATGAAAGTCTTGGGCCAAGCCTCTGTATAGTCCCAGTTCTCATCCTGGCAGCCTCTTTCTCATCTATAAAACAGGGGAAATAACATTTTCTCTGATTACTTTGTGAATACGTGAGCGTTCAGTGAAAGTGCTTACCAGGGTTGCTTTGAAAATAATTGACCTCTAGCAAAGGAGAAAGTGGTATTCCAGATAAAGAACAACTTCGTAAGGCACGGGGAGCAAGGTGAGAAGAATCCCCAAAACTCCGTGGCGAAGAAGGATTTATCAGATGTCAAATATTCTCTAGGCAATGAATCAGAAAATAAAAGCATCTTTATTTTTTAATATATTTTTTATTGATTTCAGAGAGGGAGAGAGATAAACATCAGTGATGAGAGAGAATCATTGATTGGCTGCTTCCTGCATGCCCCCTACTAGGGATGGAGTCCACAACCTGGGCATGCCCTGACAGGGAATCCAACTTAACCTCCGACCTAGGTTAAGTTTATTCCTAATTACTCTCTCCTTTTTAATGCTATAGTAAATGAGATTGTTTTCTTAATTTCCCTTTTGGGTTTGTCGTTGTTAGTGCAGTGAAACACAATTTTTGTGTGTTGATTTTGTATTCTGCAACTTTGATGAAATTGTTTTTAGGTGTAAGTTTTTTTTCTGGAATTTTTTTTTTCTATATATAAGATGATGTGATTTGTGAGCAGAGATAATTTTACTTTTTTTCCCCCAATTTCTTGTCTGATAACTTTTTCTAGAATTTTCAGTGCTGTGTAGAATAGTATTGGCAAGAGTGGTTATTGCCTTGTTCATCATAGAGGATAATTTCCGTCTTCCACCATTGAGTACAGTATTAGCTGTGGGCTTTTCATGAGGCTTATATTCTGTGGTGTAGTTTCTTTTTATTCCTAGTTTGTTGAGTATCTATTATCATAAAACAGCGTTGAGTTTTTCTGCATTGATTGCCATACTCATGCTGTCCTTGATTATATTAATGTGGTGTATGACATTGATTATTTTTGCATATTGAATTATTCTTGCATTCCAAGTATAAATCCCACTTGGTCATGGTGTGTGATCCTCTTAATGTGCTGTTGAATTCAGTTTGCTGGTATTTTGTTTAGGATTTTTATATTAATACTAGAGGCCCAGTGCATGAATTTGTGTATGGGTGGGGTCTCTTGGGGTGGCCTGCAGGGATCAGGTCAAAACCCACAGTCCAAGGCCACCTGCAGCTCCAATCTGCCACTTCTGCTCATCCAGGCCCCACTGTGCCTGCCGCAGGCTCATGCCCAATCAGTCCCAATCAGGAGAGGCTCATGCCACTACAGCAGTGCTCGCCAGCCATGAGCCCTGTGTCTGGCACCCTTCTGAGAGGAGTGGCCTGTGGGATCTGGCCAAAACTGGCTCTCCGACATCCCCTCAGGGGTCCCGGATTGTGAGGGGGCGCAGGCCAGGCAAGGGACCCCAATGGTGCACGATCAGGGACTCAGACTCGGTAGGTTAGCCAGCCAGGGAGGGACCACAGGAAGGCTCCAGGGTGTCTGGCCCATCTTGCTCAGTCCCTATCCTCAGGACCCCCGCAGCAAGCTAACCTACCAGTAGGAGCATCTGCCCCCTGGTGATCAGTGCACATCATAGCGAGTGGTTGATCAGCCTTAGCATATCATTAGCATATATGCTTTGATTAGTTGAGCGGTCAACTGGTCACCAGACAACTGGTCACTTAGCATATTAGGCTTTTATTATATAGGATTAATCAATAACATTAATTAATATTTCTTTTATGTCTTTATTTGGTTTTGGTATCAGTAATGTTGGCCTCATAGGATTGTGTTCCCTCCTCTTCAATTTTTTTTCCCCTCTTCAATTCCTAAGAAGAGTTTAGAGAGAATTGGTGTTAATTCTTCTGGTCCTGGGCTTTTCTTTGTTGGGAGTGTTTTAATTACTGCTTCAATCTCCTTGCTAATTATATGTCTGTTCAAATCTATTTCTTCATGATTCAGTCTCGGTGGGTTACATGTTTCTAGGAATTGGCTCATTTCTTCCAGGTTATCTAATTTGTTGGCATATGATTGTTCATAGAGTCTCTTATATTCCTTTTTATTTCTGTGACATCAGTTGTAAACTCCCTGCTTTCAGTTCTCGTTTTATTTATTTGAGTCTTCCTTCTTATTTAGCCTAGCTAAAGGTTTGTCACATTTGTAAATCTGCTTTAAAAAAACAACAACTGAGAGTGCTATTTATTTTTTATATTATTTTCTATTTCAATCATTTCTGTTCTAATCTTTATTATGTCTTTCTGTCTGCTAACTTGGGGTTTAGTTTGTTCTTTAGTTCCTTGAGGTGTAGGTTTAGATTTTTTAGTTGCGATCCTTCTTTTTTAATGTGTTTATTGCTACAAACTTCTTAGTACTGCTTTCATAAGTTTTGATGTTGTACTTTTATTTTTGTTTGTTTCCAGATACTTTTTAAGTTCCTTTAGATTTTTTTGACCTATTGGTTGTTTAAGAATGCATTGTTTCCTTGACATTGGTCTTAACAATGATATTTTTAGATCTGACACAAAAAGCCAAGGCAACAAAAGCAAAAATAAACAAGTGGGACTATATCTAACTGAAAAGTTCTTCCAGGGAGATGCCGTGACTTGGAGCAGGCTGGAGGAAGTGGGTAAGGGATGTCCGCAGGCTTCCCTGCTCTCTGGGGCAGATTGCAGCTAGCCCCTAGATGCTTGCTATGTTAGAAACCTGATCAGGCAGTGTCTTTTAAAATATGTGAATAGGTCCCTTTTAGAGAAATATTAGGAATTTTTTTTTTTCCTGCTCCCTCTTTGCTGAGCCCTGGAGATAAGGCTGGGTTAAGAACTGGTTCTTGCCTGGCTGTGGTGGCTCAATGGTTGAGCATATGAACCAGGAGTCCATGGTTCGATTCAGTTCTATTCCCGGTCAGGGCACATGCCTGGGCCTCGTTTGTGGGCTTGAACCCCACTGGGAGATATGGGGGTGCAGGAGGCAGTCAGTCAGTGATTCTCTGTCATCATTGATGTTTCTTTCTCTCTCTCTCCCTCTCCTTTCCTCTCTGAAAATAAATAAATAAAAGCGCTGGTTCTTTGTTTGCTATGGTCCTGTGGGGCTCGTGAATGGAAGCTCATTGGTTACCAGAGCCAGATCTGGGGACATGTCCCTTGGGTGGCAGCACAAAAGCTGTTGTACAGATGTGTGTATTAGCTCCTTCCAGGGAGATACTGGTGGCTTGGAGTGGCCTCAGGAGAGAAGGTAGAAAGGTGTCTGCCAGCTTCCTTAGTCTCCAGGAAGACTTGCAGTTGGCTCCTAGACGTGTTAAATTAGAATTCTGACCTCAGGCAGTATCCTTTAAACTGGCCCAAACTGGGAGATGGACATTCTTTGCCTGCTCCCTCTGCACTGGGGAGATACCTGCAGGGAATGTTTCTGCCCGTTAACAACTGCTTTTTTGTTTGCTGTAGTCTTGTGAGTCTCACGGACAGCAAAACTGTTGGCTTTCAGAGCTAGGACCACTCATGCTCTCACGCCCTTGGTGTCTGTGTCCACTGGTTACGCTTATAGGCATACATACAAGTCCTTTGGTCGATCTCTCCCCTGTTATCCCCACCCTTCCTACCTTCCCTCTGAGGTTTGTGCATCTGGTTGATGCTTCTCTGTCTCTGGATGTTTTTGTTCATCAGTTTATGTTGTTCATTATATTCCACAAATGAGTGAGATCTTTTTTATCAGTTTCATGTTGAAGTTTATATTGCTGTTTCTTCAAGTTCACTAATCTTTTCTTTACCATGCCTAATCTTGGGGTGACTTTAGTGGGGCTTTGTTACTTTAGTGAACCTGGTAGGGACTACTAAGATTCAATTATTTATATTTATTAATGTTAGTGTGACAGTCTTTGTAGGGATAGGATGATAAAAGTAGAAAAATATGGGTTATATATCTTTGGAGAAATGTTTTTTAAAATATATGTTTTTATTGGTTACAGAGAGAGGACCGGAGAAGGAGGAGGTATAGAAACATCAATACGAGAGAGAATCACTGATCAGCTGCCTCCTGCACACCCCCTACTGGGGACCAAGCCTGTAACCCAGGCTTGTGCCCTGACAGGGAACGGAATCGTGACCTCCTGGTTCATAGGTTGGCACTCAACCACTGAGCCACACCAGATGGACACCTTAGGAAGGTGAGTGAACAAATTCTATTAAGTTCAGCCACATCTGTAGAAAGCCATTTTTTCATTATATTACTGCTTAAACTTGGAAATTCAAATACTGGATCGTTTACAAAAGATAATACAGTTGTATCAAAGCTGGGATAAATATCAATATAATACACTGCAAGCTATGCAGGGTGATGGAATACAATGCAAAAGCAGGGGAAATCATATGGTTAACACAGTTGGAGGAAATGGGGGAAAAGACAAAAGAGAAAGGAAGTTCTCATAGCAGAAACAACATCTTAGTCATCGTTATATACCCATTAGGGAAAATAGGCGACGTAAGCACATTTATTAAGCACCTCCTATATACCAGGTATGGTTCCATATCCTTTAGTTTTTATAACCTCACTTCAAAGCAGTTATTAGTATGTTTTCAGAGGAAACATAGTCAGAGTTTAGGTAGCTTGCCCAATGTGTGGTATACAATGTGTTTCATACATCAGTTGTTGAATCAGTATCATCTGAATAAATGAGTACATATTCATTCAAATGAACTATATCTTGTGAATTTCCTTTGTTGTGCTTCTTTATAATGTTTCTAGGAAAATGCTAAACTCCTAACTACAGGCTATGTGTGCAGTAATAACAACAGTGAAAATAATGGCTGCAACACACACAGACTTGTTTTATTCATGTATATGAACTAATTTAATCATGACTTAATACAAGCTTTATTCCTCATTTTACAGATGAGGGAACTGAGATTTAGAGAGGTGAAGTAGCTTGTTGGTAGTGAAGCTAGGATTTGAACCAGGCTGTATCTTAACACCTCTTGCTGCTTTTCTTCATTGTGGTTCACTCAGATGGTTTCCTTAATTTCTTCTTTCAGACCTATTACAACCACTTTGGCAAGAATTCCCAGCTTTTTCTATTGTAGAAAAGGCAAATTGAAATCATGGAGTGAAATACAAGTCTCTTCTGCTTTCATATGGCAGGGGAGATGAACATAAATAAGTCAACCTTGCTTTTATGTCCCATGCTGGAAGATATGTACTATATACTGTACTGTCCCATTACTGTATATAAATGTACCGGAATTGCCTGCCTGCCTGAATAAGGGCAATACGTGTATCTAAAATTGAATAAAAAGCTGGCAGGGCCTGGGCACCAGTGAAGCCTTTCCTCTTGAGAAAGACTCTCTGCTTGGCCCCCTGTAATTTCCAAATTCAGATTTCTTATCTTGTCTCTTCATTTGTGCGCGGCCCTTCTCCAGGTCCCGAACCCAAGCCATGCAGGACACGGTTTTCACAGTCCCAGATTACTACGTAAGCATATGAGGAAATAAAACAGTTTATAGAGCAACAATTCAAATGGTCAAAAGACATGAACAGAAAATTCACAAAAGAAAACCAAGATGCCAATATCTTTATTTAAATATCAACTTTCGCTAGACTCATTTTTGTTTTTATCTTTTTACCTCGAGATTGGCAAACTTTAAAAAAGATTGATGTGGCTGAAACTGGAGAAGGGCAATAAGGATGTGAGGAGATGAGGGACAGTGAAAAGTTAGTGGGACTGATGGATAATAGGTTCCGGTGTGGCTGAAATAATGCTGGAGTTGTGGCCTGAGAATGAAATGAACTTGAAGGACAGGAGCTAGTGATAAAATTGGATTTTAAAATTAAGAATGTGAAGAATTTGAATTTATTGATAATGACAAGGTCTAGAGCAACATAGTACAAATGAAAATATAATCTGAGTTATGTATGTAATTTGAAATTTCCTAGTAGGCCCATTAAAAAAAACAAGTAGCCGAAACCGGTTTGGCTCAGTGGATA